CTGAAATCATTAGTGAAGGAAACAAACAAATTATCAGTTTGTGAACAATTTGGGCGTCTTTGTTTATTATTATTTGTGACTTAAAACAATAAATAAATGAGGAAGACTTCAAGAAAAAAGAATTACCTAATATTTCTTAAGGTTAATTTCGGGGCCTACTGATCATCTAATAAGCGCTTCATAAACGTGTTTTTGAAATCTTATAAGGAAATGTGGATGAAATTAAAACTGATTATTATACATCTACTGAATTTTTCCTATGTAAAAGTTAGGCGATGAAATGTGAATAATTCCCTAGAATTATCAGATAATTGACTACTTCCCCGTGCTTTAGTAAAATGAGCTAATCCCTGCTTTAGAAGCAAATTTCCCGGTTATCCGTAAATCTTTTGATTTCACTTTTGTATCGGTCTAATATGTTAATGGACTCATCCCCGTGTATTAGTCTTGAAACTAATTCCCCACCATTCGTAATCCTCTATTTGTACCGATATAATAAAACAGTTAAAAATATATCACTGAGGGAGTTAGCAACATTCCAATTCCCCTCAACCAGGACTATTTCCCTCGGCGAAATATTTCTGGCCGGCCTTGGAGGATTGGAATCTTTCTGACCCCCTCTATGATATACTTTAACTGTATAATACTCGTACATAGGTCATGTACAGGAAGCCTTTTATGACACATAAGTCAAGATCAATATCAATTCATTTTTTATACATGTATTTGAATTATATATATTATGGATTCAAAAATTGGCCCAACGAGAACCAGAGATCAGAGATTTTCCTTCTTATTTTTGCAGGGAAATGATTAACGTCAAATCCTAAAACTGACAAAAGTCGTATATCATTAGGTCAAGATAACGCCAAGAAATTTTTGAATATTTAGTGTGTAATGAAGTTAAACTATATACCAGGAAATGGTTTTCTGTGGTAAATAAGGAGTATGGAATCATCAAACTAAATTGAAAACTTTGTAGAATTTGTTGTATATATTAATTCTCTGTCTGTATTATGATCTAGATTCCAATTTTCCACTGAGAAATCATTGACTGTAAAGCTACATATCCGTAGAGCTTCCAACTTTGTTATTTTATGAGAGTATGTTTAGCCCGAACTTTAGATCATTAATTCATATATATACATATATATATATATTTTAAGTCAGTCGATTTCAAAATATTTTTCGAAAAAATGTTTTTCAAATTCGTTTTTTATTTTATATTAATATTTCTATTTTTAAAATATATTTTTGAATGAATCTATCTTTCATGAAAAATTTTAGAATTGAAGGAAAAAAGTTGACATTCTTCAAAGTAAACCATCTCCCATGCAGATTTGTCGTTCCTTCCTCTCTCAGACACCTCTTCAATGGACTCACGTCAAGATTTTTGACATAAAGTATAAAACGTGATATTTGCAGGAATATCTCAAGTTAAATTAAGAGTTCTGGATTAATTCTAGTGAATATCTATCTAAAAAGTCAGACATTAGTATAGAAATTAAATCATAATGAATTAAAACACGCACTATTTCTTAAATTGTGATATACACGAGCCAACGACAGAGGTGAATGTATGAGCCGATGGTAGAGAGCGCAAAGTATAAGCATTATATATTTATATCCACTGAATATTTTCTCCTTTATTTTTAAAGAAAACCCATTGCGTTAATCACTGCATGCGTTAACAAACGTGTCCAATAATTATCAGTTTAAGATTTTTCAATTAAAACATTTCACCACTTTACAGCATTTTCCGTGCAAATACTCTAGCAACACATGGGCCTAAATATTTTACAGACCTTTTAGAAGAATATTTACATATGATCTGTTTATAGGCCCCCTTTAAATTATTTTTAAGGAGAGTTTTATAAATTACATAAGAATGTAAAAGAAATATAAGTAACCATAGGATACATGGCATATTTTCCAGAAAAGTTATAGAACATTTCGTCTTAAACCTCCTAATGTTATAGGTCAATTAATAGTTAGAATAATATCATAAAGAAGAAATATTAAATCACCCGCGTGGCGCAGTGTTTAGAGTGTCTGCTCAAGAACTTCGAAGTAAGGATTTATTCCTACGTCGCTGGTTCGTATCCCAGTGTTGGACGTAGAGACCGCATCCTCGAATGAAACCGTATAAACCGAGGTCCCATGTCGCATAGGTGATAAAACGAAATAAAATCTCTTCCTATACTCAGTGGCCCCGAGTGCCGAGTATAGGACATAATTTGTAGGTCTCCATCGGCAAGTGGTGGTGTCTCCATATGATTTAAAAAATACTCGAAATGGACGTTAAATAATATACAATCAATCAGTCAATCAGAAAATGTGACTCACAAAACCCGCTATGAGTGATTTTTCTACTTGAAATTTTATCAACAAATATATTTTACTCAAATATATATTCTTAATGATAAAACAATGTAGGTATCCAGGCATTGGGAGAAAAATATGTATTTTTATACTCATTGAGTACTTTTTTCTATTTAGTATAATTGATATAAAATACATCTTGTAAAACGTTTGTACTTGTAAATGTCATAATTTCATTTTTACTCTAATCGTTTATGTCTTTAATTTTATTTGAAATTTAGTTTATCACATGTGTGCAACATTTTTAGGAATTCCGGATGGGCAATTTTCTTGTCTTTAGATCCGGCAACTATACTTGTGCATAACGTAACTTCCGCTCAGCATCTTTGTAAATCTTGCGTTAACGTCCGGCAAAACGAAATTAGCGACATGGTCAGGAGAACAAGGTAATTAGCAATTATGCATACATTAAAAATTCTTATGCTTACAATAACGTCTAACGCCCCTGGTCTTTTTAGTTAATGTCTTTGATTCAGTATAGATTTAACAATTACTCTGCATGTAGAACATTTTTGTACGAACATTGCCAGTTTGTTTTTATACATGGCGCCATTTTGACCCACATGTAGTGAAATGTTGATTGATAATTATTAGTCCCATAGCAATTTGTATTTCATATATCATACCAATTTAATGATTAAATAGAACTGATTTATTATGTAAATTATCACTAGTGAGATTATTTGTTGTGTGCATGGAATTTTGTGTCATTATTTACTTAAGAGTTATTCCCCTTTGTACGGCAATGTTAGGTAAAGTGCCAAGTTTGTTTACATATTTTATTTTCTTATTGTTACTTGTAATAATTTAATTGAGATTAAGAAGTGAGTTAGATGAATGTTTATTTGTTATTCATGTTACATACTGCGTACTAGTCAATTGGGTGAAATTCTTGAATATTCTAGACTATACATGTACGTATACTAAAGATAAGATTAGTGCATGTTTGTGTGCTTAATGAAATTCTAGATTTTCTTGTTATGTAATCCTAGCTGCAGAACTGTAGCTCTCTGCTTGAGAAAATTAGGACAGATAAAGCAGAGAGCTACAAATCCATGCATTGTAAAAACCTGCGATTTACGCCGACGGTTTTTTGTCGCTTACTTCGGGTATTTTTCTTATATTTTATACTTTCCCCAGCTTTAAGATTGGTATTTTTAAATCTTATGTATTAATCAAACATTTAACTTCAATTCCTGACATTCTAATTACCTTTCAACGCTTTCTAGAGAGCTACAGTTCTGAGGCTAATGTAATCCTTAATGAATTTTGTAATTTTTAACAGTTCTTACGTTGATGAAACAATAAACTCTTGACATCACCAGTATTTGAACATTTTAATGACCCAGGTAGCGAGTATGTTAACGGATCTACCACCTAATTTTAATTAGATTGTTAATGACCTAGCAAGCTACAGTACTTCTGCTTTAATTAAGACTTCACAGATCACCTATAATTCACTTTCATGCCAAAAAAACTCTATTGTCATAGAGTTTAAAATCACAACATAAACACAGATTTTTCAATTCAAAATTATTTTCGAGAAAACAGTAAGTTTTTTAAAAAAAAATTATAATATATTTCGAAATTAAATGTTAATATCAATCACTGGCCGAAAGGGGTCTCTGTTTTATCTACTTTAATTTAACCTGTGCAGAGACTTGCGTTCAAATAAAACCTATGTCATAGTTTATCAGCCGGTAGTATCGGGTCGTGATAACACCAAGAATATTCCCGAGAATTTTGCTTTGAAATAAACAATTATCAACTGAATGGGGTAAAGACATGGTATAAATAAGTGTCTCAAGTTTATGTGTTATCTATTATGTAATACAAACGATTGATCAATAGAAGAATTTAACATCTGTAAGAAAGCTCACATGTTCCTTGTATATATAGCCTTGAAATTACTCTAAAGGAGACATTTGAACAATAAGCATGATCAGGCATATAATTGAAACAAAATCAACATTTTTCATATGAATAAATATTAAATTATTTTAAAAAAGAAATTTACTGTCTAAATGCCTGATGTCGTGTAAGATGTTACGTGAAAACCGACTTTGTACATACTGATTGCCGGTCCATTTATTATATACTGAATTGTCGACAGATTTTTCTTTTTTTTCCCCATACGAACATACGAATTATGAGCAAACGGCGTGTGTAACAGGTTGGAAGGGGATCTTCACTCTTCCATGGCACCTGAACCCATCTCTAATGTTTTCGAGGTCCGCCTTGCTCCGCACTTGTATTGTTTTATGGACTTTTGAGCTTTAATACATATTTCACGTTCTGGTCAGAAGATCGCCAACATTCATTTTTTTAAATACAAATGATATTAGTCGCCCTTGCGTCCAGTAGTTGGAAAGTCTGCTCTAAGAGTCGCATAGTAAGAAGTTGATCTTGACGTCGTGGAATACGGACGTGGATACTGGCCCCACAGATGAGACCGTAGTAGGTGCTGGCATGAAAAAGATCCGTCACTGCTCAATGACCGAGTGCTGAGAAAAGGACAAAACTTACAGCTCCCCGACAAGTGGAGCCGTCTCTATATGAGTGAACAATTTTTGAGAGGGACGTTAAAATAAGATTTAAAAAAAACCTGTACCAATATAGTATTTTAAACCATTTATTTCGTCCATAAGACGCATACGTAGAGCAGTAGTACAGCTTTAGGCCGTTTATTTTATGGTCGTGGAGGTTAAAGTAAATCCACAAGTTTAAACCGAGGTCATGTGTCACAGTTCCGAGTATGTCTAAATTTGCAGTCCTTCGCCGGGAATTGTTGGTGTCCCAATTTGACTGAAAAAATTCAAAACAAGCAAACACTCAAAACAATACTTAAAATCTAAAGTTAACTAAATTAAAAATGACATGTATATGTTTATATATTCTTTCTTTGATTCTTTCAAGCTAAAATTTATATGCCATATATTTTTTTTCTGTCCTTAAGCTTGTTCGAGCCTTAAAATCAAACGCTTGTGTCTCGCTGTAGGCATTTGCACTACAGTAGGTCCTAATTTTGTTTCTTTTCCTCTGTATATGGTGACGTTTTTCGAAGCAAGTTAAAAAGAAAAAAAATATATAAATATATCATTCAATTATTTTTCTTCGAAAAAGAATCAGTCTGAACATTGTATAAAATTTACAAATGCTAACAGGTTCGGTGGGAGCTTTAATTCATTTTTATGATAATATTCCTTGTGATTGTATTTCACTTGGATACATTTTCTAGTCCTCTTCTTCGTCGATGTGCTTCAGGTCGTCTTTGATATGAAGATCTTCTTCTTTTCTACTTCTATCATCATCATTCTCTCTTGTTTGGTAAACCTCTTCAAACTTCTTGCATTTGATGTCAAGAGCATCCAACAAATCTTTCCACGTCTTCTCGGTAAAAGCCTTTACTTTACATCTCCTGTGATCCATGAGTTTCTTCAAACCTTTGGTGTTTTTCTCGCTTTGCCTCGTTTTCAATCCATGGACATGTGGCTCCCCCTTCGTTATGCACGAGCGGCGTTTTATCTTATAAAGACTAGCAAAGTAGATCGTTAACTGCAGTTGTCTTTTTCTGCCAAGAAAACCTTAGCATTCTCTCCATATAGCAAACTCAATAAAAGCCGAATTAACGTTAATCTGATTCTTCCCCGGGGAGATGTGCGCCAAGCAATTAATGTCAGCAGGTTTGAGGGAGGGATCTTAAAATTTACTGGGTTTAAATTATAGGTAGAATACTAATTATTTAGAAGATTTGAATCCCCCCCCCCCCCCGTCTTTTTTTTGGGGGGGGGGGGAGTTAAAAATAGGGAAGGAAATTAATTATAGTAAAGTAATTCTTTAAAAAAAATAAGCTGTATTTAATTTTTTTTACGTAATTCAATTTCAAAATATTTTTTCTTAGTACTAATTGGCATCTGGTAGTTGTGGAAGTACCGCGTCGAAATATAGATAAAAGGGTACCAAATTCCCGGACGCTTACATCATTTCCTGGTTGAACAAGATGGAGACGAGTACTGAATGGGTAGACGTTACCCGATTGGCTATGTAAACATTTTCATTTAAAAGTGAATATTTTCTGTTGATTTTTTTTTTTCTTATTTTCTTCAATTCAACTTTTTTAAATATAAATTTTGGTACCAGTGCCTCTGACATTTTACGTATTTTGTAAATAAATAAAGAGTTTTGACAGGAACTATTTAGGGCATAAGGGACTACTTCCTGGGGTAGACGTTTATTTTTTCTCTAACTAAGAGAGCTAAGAACCTAGGATCCACCCCCAGAAGTCTGCTGCCGTAAATTGTCTTGCCGGCGTTTTGGGAATATGGGTGATTTGCATCAATTACACTTTTATTGACTCCATCGCTGTCGAAATCGAACGAGATTTCTTGGCATGACACAAATAGAAAAGGGGGGTTTAGATCTTTTACCGTGACACAAATAGAAAAGGGGGGTTTAGATCTTTTACCATGCCAAGAAAACCTTAGCATTCTCTCCATATAGCAAACTCAATAAAAGCCGAATTAACGTTAATCTGATTCTTCCCCGGGGAGATGTGCGCCAAGCAATTAATGTCAGCAGGTTTGAGGGAGGGATCTTAAAATTTACTGGGTTTAAATTATAGGTAGAATACTAATTATTTAGAAGATTTGAATCCCCCCCCCCGCCTTTTTTTTGGGGGGGGGGAGTTAAAAATAGGGAAGGAAATTAATTATAGTAAAGTAATTCTTTAAAAAAAATAAGCTGTATTTAATTTTTTTTACGTAATTCAATTTCAAAATATTTTTTCTTAGTACTAATTGGCATCTGGTAGTTGTGGAAGTACCGCGTCGAAATATAGATAAAAGGGTACCAAATTCCCGGACGCTTACATCATTTCCTGGTTGAACAAGATGGAGACGAGTACTGAATGGGTAGACGTTACCCGATTGGCTATGTAAACATTTTCATTTAAAAGTGAATATTTTCTGTTGATTTTTTTTTTTCTTATTTTCTTCAATTCAACTTTTTTAAATATAAATTTTGGTACCAGTGCCTCTGACATTTTACGTATTTTGTAAATAAATAAAGAGTTTTGACAGGAACTATTTAGGGCATAAGGGACTACTTCCTGGGGTAGACGTTTATTTTTTCTCTAACTAAGAGAGCTAAGAACCTAGGATCCACCCCCAGAAGTCTGCTGCCGTAAATTGTCTTGCCGGCGTTTTGGGAATATGGGTGATTTGCATCAATTACACTTTTATTGACTCCATCGCTGTCGAAATCGAACGAGATTTCTTGGCATGACACAAATAGAAAAGGGGGGTTTAGATCTTTTACCGTGACACAAATAGAAAAGGGGGGTTTAGATCTTTTACCGTGACACAAATAGAAAAGGGGGGTTTAGATCTTTTACCATGCCAAGAAAACCTTAGCATTCTCTCCATATAGCAAACTCAATAAAAGCCGAATTAACGTTAATCTGATTCTTCCCCGGGGAGATGTGCGCCAAGCAATTAATGTCAGCAGGTTTGAGGGAGGGATCTTAAAATTTACTGGGTTTAAATTATAGGTAGAATACTAATTATTTAGAAGATTTGAATCCCCCCCCGTCTTTTTTTTTTGGGGGGGGGGGAGTTAAAAATAGGGAAGGAAATTAATTATAGTAAAGTAATTCTTTAAAAAAAATAAGCTGTATTTAATTTTTTTTACGTAATTCAATTTCAAAATATTTTTTCTTAGTACTAATTGGCATCTGGTAGTTGTGGAAGTACCGCGTCGAAATATAGATAAAAGGGTACCAAATTCCCGGACGCTTACATCATTTCCTGGTTGAACAAGATGGAGACGAGTACTGAATGGGTAGACGTTACCCGATTGGCTATGTAAACATTTTCATTTAAAAGTGAATATTTTCTGTTGATTTTTTTTTTTCTTATTTTCTTCAATTCAACTTTTTTAAATATAAATTTTGGTACCAGTGCCTCTGACATTTTACGTATTTTGTAAATAAATAAAGAGTTTTGACAGGAACTATTTAGGGCATAAGGGACTACTTCCTGGGGTAGACGTTTATTTTTTCTCTAACTAAGAGAGCTAAGAACCTAGGATCCACCCCCAGAAGTCTGCTGCCGTAAATTGTCTTGCCGGCGTTTTGGGAATATGGGTGATTTGCATCAATTACACTTTTATTGACTCCATCGCTGTCGAAATCGAACGAGATTTCTTGGCATGACACAAATAGAAAAGGGGGGTTTAGATCTTTTACCGTGACACAAATAGAAAAGGGGGGTTTAGATCTTTTACCGTGACACAAATAGAAAAGGGGGGTTTAGATCTTTTACCGTGACACAAATAGAAAAGGGGGGTTTAGATTATAGGTAGATCTTTTACCATGCCAAGAAAACCTTAGCATTCTCTCCATATAGCAAACTCAATAAAAGCCGAATTAACGTTAATCTGATTCTTCCCCGGGGAGATGTGCGCCAAGCAATTAATGTCAGCAGGTTTGAGGGAGGGATCTTAAAATTTACTGGGTTTAAATTATAGGTAGAATACTAATTATTTAGAAGATTTGAATACCATGCCAAGAAAACCCCCCCCCGTCTTTTTTGTGCGCCAAGCAATTAATGTCAGGGGGGGGGGGAGTTAAAAATAGGGAAGGAAATTAATTATAGTAAAGTAATTCTTTAAAAAAAATAAGCTGTATTTAATTTTTTTTACGTAATTCAATTTCAAAATATTTTTTCTTAGTACTAATTGGCATCTGGTAGTTGTGGAAGTACCGCGTCGAAATATAGATAAAAGGGTACCAAATTCCCGGACGCTTACATCATTTCCTGGTTGAACAAGATGGAGACGAGTACTGAATGGGTAGACGTTACCCGATTGGCTATGTAAACATTTTCATTTAAAAGTGAATATTTTCTGTTGATTTTTTTTTTTCTTATTTTCTTCAATTCAACTTTTTTAAATATAAATTTTGGTACCAGTGCCTCTGACATTTTACGTATTTTGTAAATAAATAAAGAGTTTTGACAGGAACTATTTAGGGCATAAGGGACTACTTCCTGGGGTAGACGTTTATTTTTTCTCTAACTAAGAGAGCTAAGAACCTAGGATCCACCCCCAGAAGTCTGCTGCCGTAAATTGTCTTGCCGGCGTTTTGGGAATATGGGTGATTTGCATCAATTACACTTTTATTGACTCCATCGCTGTCGAAATCGTTATAGAATGTTAGAACTCAGGAAATCAAAGAGCTAGTAATCACTCAATTATAGTAAAAAAAACTATTTTTGCAACACACGTATGAGTTCTTTACATACCGGTGTTGTTTTATCTTTTTTGTTAGTTGTAACTAGTAACTAGATTCCATTTGTATTGATTGATTAATTATGCTCAAAAGTAATATGATACAGGTACTTAAATATTCATAGATGCAGGTTTTATATAGTATTACAAGTACAAATGTTGCGTAAGAGCTTCATATTTTAAACGATCGACTGTGTAATCAATTACCTGCTTCGGGTTCGTCATCACTTATGTTATCTAGAAAGAAAAAACAGAAAACAACATGGTTACTACAAAGCATACTAATAAAATCATTATTCGTATTACCTGTATCTTATCTCTCTATTTCCCGTCTCCCTCTCTCCCCCCTCTCTTTCTCTCCCTCTCTCTCCTACAAACAGTAAAACTATTTTGAAAGTTCTTACGATTCGAGTTTAATAAATGAAGAAAGCTTGTTGTTTATCAAAATACGGAAAGAAGAACATTTCAAACAAGAGCACCGCAAAGCGGAGCATCACCTTGCAAAGAGCATATCTATAAAGCAATACATTCGATATCGATCCTGATGAAAATTGAGTCACTTTCGTTTTGTACCAGAACAAAACTGTTCTATTTTTCCTTCAACTCATTTGCGTGGGAATAATAAAAGAAGAAAACAAAAACACACATGCAAGCATCCGAACAAACAAGCAAAAAAGTTAACAGAGCTGATAAACAAATTATTGCGTTTACCTTACACTTGACAGTTATAAGTTAAAGACAATAGGAAATTTTGGAAATATTTACCAAGGTCACTTTCAGAATCATCATCTGCGTCACACTCTGTAAAAAAAAATATTATTTTAAAAAGCATGCAGGATTATTATGTCTTCATGTAAGAAAATTATGAATTATCATGAAAGTTACTGATCTTTTTAGGGATTTTGATTTTTAATATGTGTAAAATTACTGGTTTTCGGTATCTGACACTAAACATTAAAATGAAACATAT